AATAAATGTAGTTTCACGTCCTACTTTTCTGTGCCATGTGGTCTAATGAAGACGGGCAACGCCATGCATTGTGCAATGAGAAGCCTGCTCTTTTTCAATTTCCAACTGTCGAAGGATCTTTAACGTGCATAGCCTGTAGCACATGGACTCTCGGTTTATTGTCCAATCCGAAGGACTAGACGCTTTATCCATGTCAGCCCCTCTTACCTGCATCACTTTAGGGGGGGACCGGGTTGAAAAATCCGACCTATGCCGGGATTAAACCCTCGACCTTCGGGTTAGCGAGCAAACCTCCAACTCACTGAGCCACCGCGGCTCCCTGTATTTTCAATTTCTATGGTGAACATCAAACAAATAGAAACAAATTGGTTTACGATTCTAACTGTATGGGGTCTATATGCAAATAAATGACACCCTAAACAATAAATGAAACTTCTAAGGAGCGCATTTCTGAATCTCTGAAAATAATCATTCCATTCTACATACCCCTGTATGATATGCAAATAACACATACTTCCAGTAGTATGACTTTTAGAAGACCTTAGTCAATTGCATGGCAGTGAAATGATTTGCAATTGCATACACGTGGAAACAAAAACTTAATTACAATTTATAACGAAGCTGACGAAACATCAAAATGTTCATTATTTTCCAATTAGGTTGTAAAGAGTTTTTCTGGTATTTTATGATAATTTTCAGAGTACAAACTATTCTCAATCTCATGTTAATCTCTGTCTTCATCAATTGTGGAATTAAGGAAATATGATACCATGTACAATCCTAACATCCATGAAATGTTTTATGTACGTTTAATTAATTTAAAGTTGGAAGTACACAGAGTTTACAGAAATGTCCATACTATGAACAATAACTTATTACTATTATTTGGGAAAACATACTTATTGATTGATATACTTCCTCATGTGAAAAGTTCATTAGCTGTTACCAATGTTTCGTCAAAATGATAAATGATTTAAATGTGCGACCTCGCGTGACCTCTGCATTTGCATGTTTTGATAAACATGGGTAATCTCTACAGCGTCAACCTGCAGAATTTTACCTATAGTTTCAAAGTAATGTCAAACATAATGTTCTAACATATAAGCAGTCACAATTTAACAGTCACTATTTTTTTTTACTTGATATTAAAGATAAATACTAAAAAATGATAAAAATACAACTGGGTAGCCAGACAACGTATTTTTCTTGACATATTTATAGATCAAATATTGTACACGAAAATAGGTGACGCATGCAGTCGTTGTCGAGTTGGGTACTCATGAAATATGGGTCAAGGTGAGGGATTCAGAAAGAAAATCGAAACAAACCAATTTTAATTATTTTATAAAATATCTGAAGAAACATATAAGAAAAAAAAATGTTTTCCGTTATTTTTAATTTTGACGAAATTAGGTATTGAATCCTTATATGAACGAATATAGGTTATACCACTGTACTTTTATTTACTTGTTTATTTATCCTATACTGGTTAGACAGAGTTCGTTAACCTTTAATCTATTGATTACCATAGTGTATATTATTACAATAATGTGTAGTTAGTGCAGTGATAATATATCGGGTGTCCCAAAAAAGTATCTCATTTTTAAAAATTGCCCAACACTAAATTAAAGTCATCGAATAAAAATTGTACGATAACTGAACCGAAAATAATAGAATGTCAAAAAATGCAATATCAAGGCAACCTACCTATACTACCCGTCGAACTTTGGAACGTTTTTTTTTAAACACCCAATATATATTGACTAAAAAAGGTAATATCCAAGATAGATATTATGTGATTTCTCAAGGCCTGTACAATACAGGCGAGACAGAGTTATTACAATGAGGCGTAGTGATGTTCAGGAGGAAGTAAATTACCAAATATTCAACATGATTGTTTAGTTTTTTATGTAAAGCTATATATATGTATAGTAGAATTCAATCCAATAGGTGTAGTAATATAATATATATATTTATATTTTGACTTGAAGAAGGAAGAATATTACTGCTGAATAATATACAGTTTAAATATTTAGTTAAGAATTTGTTTCTCCATCGTGATTGATCAACAGATAAAACATACTCATACAGGTAATTATGGTTTCTCTCATGATAGGTGATTTGAGCTTTATTATTAAAGCTAATGATACCCCATTGTCAAGCCCTATACATGACTATGTGAACTCAGTCGTTATGAGTAAACAATTTAATACACTGATATATGATATACATATATTATATTTTGAATTGAAAAAGGAAGTAAAATAACATGTCACACTACAAGAATAGAATTGATAGTAAGATGTTTTATGTTGAAGATAAGAAGGAGGTTATCATAAGGCAATATTTGAGATAAATATTTAGTAAATAATTTACATGACCTACAAAACACGAATTATTACTTGAACGTCATCACACGTGGAAGTCTGTGTTATAGATAGCTATGGTCCGAATGTGAGCTTAATGTTTTAAAACTTATAATGAATCTTAGTTGTTTTCATCTTCTCTATGATTAAATTCGTTGTTTTCACTGTGTAGGTCTTTACTAGAAAGTTTATATTTACAGGAATCATAATAAAGTATCATGGAAATTAAAAATATTCTGGTCTGTGTTCTTCTCTGTTGTGTCAATGGTAAATATTAAATTTATTGTAAATTCGTGTAGAATCAAGGGAAGATATTTCAATTTATAATTGATAAAATACTGAACAGATAAAGAAACGTCGCATTTTTTAAAATTATTTGGACAAAGTTGTGCACGATCAAAATTGTTAGTTTTCTTTATAAATATGATTTTTAGACTTTAAAAGGGCCAGTTAACTTTATGACAATCAACTGATAATATCGGTTGCGTTTGATTTAAGAGTTGTGAAGCTTAGGAAATGTCAGATGTTTATGGAAGCCGGTTGCGGCCATATCTACTCTCGACTTCTCGACCACGAGAAAGCTAGGAAACTCGACTTCTCGCCCACGACAAAGCGAGGAAACTCGACTTCTCGCCCACGAGAAAGCGAGGAAAAAGGCGAAGAAAAAGGCAAGGAAAAAGGCGAGAAAGCGAGGGTAAAAAAAGGCGAGAAAGCGAGGGTAAAAAAGGGCGAGGAAAAAGGCTTTCTTGCCTTTTGCTCGCTTTCTCGCCTTTTTCCTCGCCCTTTTCTCGCCTTTTTCCTCGCCTTTTTTCATTCATCTTTAACAGTGCACATTTTTTTTTTCAAATTGTTAATTTAATTGAATTAATGAAAAATTAAAAAAAAAACATACGAAATTTATTTTGAAAGAATGTTAATCAGAAGTAACACATATTCCTTCAAATTTGAAAGGAAAGAGTATTTACAGTGTTATGGAATATCTTCACTATATTCTATTAAAAATAGCCTATCAAACAAAAACTTTTGAAAAACCGGACCGGGACACATTGTTAAAAAAACTGTTTTTGGGAGTCTGTAGGGCTAATATATGGACCAATTAAACTCGGTTTTCTTTTTTATGTTCTTTGTAACAAGATATATATGTACAAATATTTTTACAAAAATTCGATTTTTAGTTTTCAGATTGATATGAAATTCACTCAACGGTGGCATTCCGCTTTTTTGTAGGTAAAAGATTTTTTTTTGCTCAAATTTGTGACAAAAAGATATACCAAAATCTAGAAAAATGTGTCCCTGAATAATGATATATGAAAATTTTAACTTAATAAATCCAGCCGTTAAACGCCAAAACTATTCTATAAGCTTATGACGTAGGCCTAGGCTACACATTACATAAACTTTGTAAGTTTGTATTGTTTTTGTTAATTGCAAGAAAACTACTGTACGGATTTAAGCAAATTAAACGCTTTATTTTAGAGAAATATATGTCGCCTAATTTTTCTGAAGGTTCCAACTAAAATTATTGAGCCATTAAAAAAACTAACATCCCAACTAGGTAAAACTAATTAATTAACGATCCATTTGTTAATTAACCCATTGAAAGCAAATTCAGTTTGATCCAGTAGATACATAGATATTAATAGCGAGGAGAAGGCCAGAAAGAGAGGAAAAAGGCGAGGAAAAAGGCGAGGAAAAAGACGAGAAAAAAGCTAGGAAAAAGGCGAGAAGGCGAGGAAAAGGGCGAGAAGGCGAGAAAGCGAGGAAAAAGGCGAGAAAGCGAGGAAAAAGGCG